TAAATCAATCAATCAGTCAACCAATCAATCAATCAATATTGATCATAGGGGCTGTTGTGTATTGGCAACGTAAGTTTGTCCCTTTCAGGGTCCTGTAACTTAGCCCCTCCTCCCTTATGTTGACACCATGCTAATGTGTATATGGCAACAGTGGAGTTAATACACGTTTTCCGTGCAAACCCGTGATGTCCTGTGTCGTTCTTCGGTCATGTAGAATCAATGGTACACAACAAACTGGCGACGAGCTGCCACGTTCTGGTGCTGTGTTAGTTTATTTTTCTTGTTTTTTTTCCCGGTGATGAATCCGGTCGGTTCCGCTTCCAGTTCACTGTGGCCTGTGAGGAGGACAAGCGAGCAGACTCGCGGAGCTGCGCTGCTGCAGCTGGGGAGTGTGTGAGAGACAGACGAGGCTGAAGCCGCACCTGCACGGGACAGGATGGTAAATAAATAAAATAAAAAAATAAATGGATGACAGTTCAGTGTGAAGAAGAGAACTGTTGAGTGCAGAATGGCTTCAATTATAGGAAATATTGGACTATTTGAGGAAAGTATTGAGCAATGGGGTTCATATGCTGAAAGATTTGATTATTTCGTGCTGGCCAACAAGATTGATGATGACGTCATGGAGCCAACCTTTTTAAGTGTCATGGTGGAAAAACTTTCAACCTATTACGGAGTTTGGTGCAACCTGACAAACTGGAGAACAAGTCATACAAGGAAATTGTACAAATATTAAGGAGTCATTATTCACCCAAAGCTCTGATCATTGCAGAGGTTCAGGTTTCATAAGAGGAACCAAGGGGGGTGAATCTGTTGTACAGTTTGTAGCAGTATTGAAATGCCTATCTGCACATTGTGAGTTTGGACGTTCACTAAATGATACACTGTGCGACAGGCTAGTGTGTGAATTACGCAGTGAGGCTATTCAGAAACGACTACTAACTGAGGTTAACTTGACATTGGAAAAAGCAATTGAAGTGAATACTTCAATGGAAATGGTGGCTCGTGAAGCACAACAACTGAGTGCATTCACACAGGTTTATCAGTTATCTTCTGATCCCAAGAATACAGCCAAAGGAGACAGGTTGTGCTACCGCTGCGGGAAAACGGGGCACCAAACTAATGACTGTTGGTGTAAAACCCTGACTTGCAGAAACTGTGGTAAGATGGGCCACATTGAACGTGCCTGTAAAGCCAAGAAGTCAGAGACCAAGGTAACCTTTACAAACGGGAGAAACGGGATTGTCCCGAATGGAAAAAAAAAAAAAAAACTGGTGAACAAAATGGAGCACAAACTCAGTGACTGTGAATCTGATGATGAAGATACTGTACATGTTTTGGCTGTCAGCGACAGGGATGATGAGTATTGGGTCACAGTTCTGCTGGAGGGATCCCCAGTACGTATGCAGGTTGATACTGGTACATGTGTGTCTATGATACCAGAAACATTGTACAAAAACGGTTGCACCACCTCCCTTTGCAAAAGACAAAGCTAAAGCTAAGAACCTACACAGGGGAGTCTGTTCCAGTGTTGGGGCAGGTGGATGTCACCGTTTCACACACTAATCAGGAGGCAATCCTTCCGATATACATCATTGTTTACCTCCGTGGGACTGGCCTGAAGAACCCTGGCAAAGAGTACACACAGATTTTTCTGGACCAGTTGAAAAGCACATGTTCCTACTCAGTGGCAGTTCTACATAGAATTACGCCCCGGGCGAGGCCCCCTTTGAGTGCCCCCCCCCCCCCCACACACACACACACACACACACACACCACCACCACCACCACTACCACCACCCCACCTGCACGAACACACACATGTTTTCTACGAACAGGCATGTTTTATTAGAACGACTATTGAACATTAATTTTTCTAAGTTGCACATATTTACAATAATTACTATGAAGTTGTCAGAATGTAAGCAATATACATTATATACTGTATCAAAATATATAGAATCAAATACACAAAAACAAACAATAACTAAATATTATGAATATATGAACATAATATATAATAAATATTCTAAATAGCAAAAATATTTCACACATAACAAACTAAAGATAATCACTACAGCATTGCACTTAGAACAGAAAACAAACTAAAATTAAAACCTAACCTTGATGCAAAGTCATCAATAATGTCATCATATGAAATCTGCTCCCCCTACTGAGTGATTGGTACTAATCAGAGCCAGGTGAGTGAGCCGCCCCTGAAACATAGGTGACCTCAGGTATGACTTGATCAAGTTTTGAAAAGCTCCTCTCAGCTGGAGCCACAGTGACTGGCAGAGCAGTCCAAAAGTTGGGGTAGATCTCCAGTAGATCTTTATCATGATCCATAATATTTTAGAATTGCCTCTGAAATTGTAATTTAAACTGACATAAAAAAACTGTAGACTACCAAAAATGCCAACTTTTACAGAACAAATCATGTAAAAATAATCAGTGCAGCCAATCTGCAATAAATAAACAGGATAGTTAGTGGTGACTGGGGAGTTTTCTTCTGCTTGTAGAGTTGTTTTATTTATTATTATGTGAACATGATCAACATGTGTTTGTTGTTGTTCAGGCAGGCCACAGGCTGCAGCGAGCATTTAACAAATCCTAGTTTGAATCAGTAAAAAAACGATTCAAGGAATTTTTTCGAACCATTTGAATATTTGTTTCAATATTTCAGCCCTATTAGCTCTGTTAGCAATTAGTTGACTGAATTTAACCGTTAAAATCCCAGTTAACTGGCTCAAAAAAATGAAAACATGCATCATGAGAGCGTACATAACTTTATCTTTCTCCTCTTTTTTTCTTTTTATTCCTGAATCGGGCACCTGGTGGTTTTAGCATTTTTATGTTCATCTCTTCTGTTTGGCTCTTGACTCAGTAAGTTTCCTTTAGTCAGGACTAAACTATTTGACCTTGATGGGGGGGGGTGACCACAAAATTGTTTTGTTTTTCCTTTTTTTATTCGGCCATTTCACACAATTCAGAAAAACCTGAAAGAATGATAGGCCTGTGTTTATGATATTATGAATGAAATGTGCGTTAAATGGAAGAACATCAAGATGTGGTTGACTTTAGCCATGTTAATACAGCTGATTCAGCCCCTACCCGCTCATTTGATTTGGACCCACCCAGAGGTGAATTCCCCCGCCGCGCCCCTCCCCTTCCTCTTCTTCATACACACACCGTGAACGTTCTCAGTCAGCAGGAGCGCCTGCAGCTGCAGGGGGCGCCAACTTGCTGTTTCCAATCCAGACACTGTGATATGACAGATAATAGAAAACCTCGGTGCGGCGCAGATTTCTTTCTTTTTTTTTACTCAGCGCTTGTGCGCCCCTTTTGTGTCATGAAAAAATGCCGCCCCGGGCAACTGCCCTGTCTGCCCGTGCCTAAAACCGCTACTGTTCCTACTGGTAATTGATGCCCACAGTAAATGGCCTGAAGTTGTACCCATGAAAACTACCACCTCAGAGAAAACTATTGAAGAATTAAAGTCCATCTTTAGCCGTTTTGGCCTGCCAAAACAGCTTGTGAGCGATAATGGTCCACAGCTGGTGTCTGAAGACTTTAAGACCTTCATGGAAGAAAATGGCATCCAGCACCTCAGGTCTGCACCATATCACCCGTCAACAAATGGGCTGTCTGAGAGGTTTATACAGACCCGGAAGCAAGCACTCTCAGCAGCAAAAATGACACATTCACTAAACCGACACCTGAACACTTTCCTCTTATCATATAGGAACACACCTCACGCTACTACTAAAGTGTCACCTGCCATGGCTATGATGAAGAGACAACTCTGCGCTAGACTCGACATCTTGAGACCTTGTAGCACTCGGGAGCATGTGCAACATCATCAAAGAGCCCAAGTGGATGGTCGAGCAAAGACAAAGTTTTGCACTTTCCTACCTGGAGATCATGTTCTTGCTCAAAACTACACCAAAGGAGAAAAGTGGGTCCCTGCAACTGTGGTTACTAAAACTGGACCAGTGTCATATACCGTTGTAACAAGGGATCGTCTAATATGGAGGCAACATGTTGATCAACTCATTCAATCCAGTCCTGCAAATGACGTTCACCATTCAACACCTCATGTTTCAGAGTTGGATACTTCTCGGGAGGAGTTTTCGTCACCAGGGACAGTCCAAGAACCAACCTTGGATGCAGGTTTCATTCCAGTTGCCCCTGAACCTGCTTCATTGTCAGTGACGGACGTCACTGCTCCACCAGCGGAAGTTGGTGATGGAACTGATCAGCCAGCTGGTCGTATTTACCCTAGCAGTCAGAAGACCTCCTGACAGACTTTCCTATCAATTAGGGGCTACCCCGGATATAGATACATATATATAAAAAAGAGACAGGTGGGGCAGAATAATCCCCAGGGTTTAGCCTGGGAATTGAGGCAGTCTACCCTCATTCCCTAGCCAGGATTTTTCTTTATTATTCTTTCGTACAACACAGAGGTTAGTTTTTTGGTTGTTAGATGGTTGAAAGAGTTAGTTCTTCCATGATGACTGTTGAATCTATTTTCATTTCTTATATTTTTGAAGTACGGGGGGAGGAATATGTTGTGTATTGGCATCGTAAGTTTGTCCCTTTCCGGGTCCTGTAACTTAGCCCCTCCTCCCTTATGTTGACACCATGTTAATATGTATATGGCAACAGTGGAGTTAATACACGTTTTCCGTGCAAACCCGTGATGTCCTGTGTCGTTCTTTGGTCATGTAGGGTGCAGCCTGAACTCAAGATTTTCTCCTCAAACATGGTCTATTCAAACTAAAACAAGGTAGGGATTTGGTCAAATTAAAACATTGGAGCATTTTTTCTTACATTTAATGACAGAAAAATTATTTTTTTTAAACGTTCATGGTGACCACTAGTGATAATTCCGGCCTCAGAAATATCTTAGAGTTTACCTCAGTTGTCAGACCAAGTCCATTTTAAAATAATTTAGAAATCTAGAACCAAAGAATGTGAAATCAATGTGCGTGCGTTACCTGTGTAGACGAATCGTCCTGGTGCCCCTTTACAGAACTGCTTGGACTTGTAAGACAACGTGACCTCAACAACCCCAGGGATGTGGCGGGGTGGAGTTTGGACTCTGATGGCATGAGGGGTGATCAACTGAAGACAAAGACATTAAAAACATTAAACACATTGGAAATGGGGACAACTTTGATGGCCGCTGAGTTGTTTCTACTGTTTGATGGTCCATCCCAGGTGGAACACAGAGTTCTGACATTGGACCAGGTTAATACAAGACATATTTTTTGAACAGTAACAAATGAAGGAAAATTTGGAATTTGGGGTTGTATCACAATCACATCGATGACATCTAGTGGCTGTTATCTTTGTTCTGTGTGTACTAAACATCAATGGTGAAATAATTGAATGTGTGTGTTGATTATTGATGATGTGATTGCTGAATGTTACCTCGCTCCACACCAGCATGGTGCCAAAGACAACTTGCAATCCATCAAAGAAGTTATCTCCAATAAGAATGACAGTGGCTCCACCCGTCGTCCAGCCCTCACTGGGACTGATGGCTTTTATACAGGGCGTGGCTGCTGGACAACACACACAGAGACACACAAACATGAATGTCTGAACAATGCAATTGTGTTACAACAAATTAAAGATGGACCCTCTTGGATTCCAGAGAATAATTAATATCGGGAGTATGCTGAGGAACACACGTCACTACACTTGCCATTTGACCTGAGAGTCCAGTAAAGGTGCAAACAAATGTTCGGGTAAGACAGGTGTATAGAAGGTGGAGTAGAGGCATGTTGGAGGCTGCTTGAGATGTCAAGAGATTTTTTTAATGCATGGTAAAAGTATGTCAATTACTTTTTAAAAATATGATCAAGAATAGGCAAACAAAACTGACTACTGCTCAAAAGCTTCTTGGATTCAAAATGTTGTTGTAGACTTAAGAAATGTTAGAATAATTTTGCTTCTCTCTTGTCCTTCTGATCCAAAAATGACCTCTGTGAAAGACCCAGAGGTTGGAAACACTGATCTTCATAACATCAACACATGCACACACGCAAGCGCTCATAGACAGAGATAGAGATAGAGAGAGAGAGAGAGAGAGAGAGAGAGAGAGAGAGAGAGAGAGAGAGAAAGAGAGAGAGAGGAATAGAGAGGGAGGGAGAAAGAGCGAAAACGTGGTTTAATTGGGTTGTGACTTTTATCCTCTTTAGCTTTGTTCACTTCAACACCACACACACACACACACACACACACACACACACACACACACACACACACACACACACACACACACATACACACACACACACACACACACACACACACGAGGTAATGACTGCTCCTCTCTCTCCTTTCAAGTGTGGCTTCAGATTAATTATAAAGTGAAATGAAGGCAAAGTGTGTGCATGTGTGCCTGTTCCTGTGTGTGCGCTTATATGAAAAAAAGAAAAATTATATATATATCAAATACCTGGTGAACCAGCTACAAATGGATGGGACAGAACTGTGTTCCTTTGTCCTTTCTTGTAAAACTGACTTCCAGTTTTTTAATGTATATTAATATACAGTGGAGCTAAATAGCATTTAGTTAACTTAGAGTTGTGCCAGTTTTCCCATTAAAATGATGAGAAAGGCCTGTAATTTTCATCATAGTTATACCTCAACTATGAGAGACAAAATGAGATAAAAATTCCAAAAAAATCATATTGTCTGATTTTTACAATAGTATTTGCAAATTAAGGTGGAAAACAAGTACTTGTTCTGTAACGAAAGCCCATCTCAACACTTTGTTATATACCTTTTGTTAAATGTTAATGATAAATGACTCACTTGTATAGCACCTTTCAGAGTCAGAGGACCCCAAAGCACTTTACACTACAGTGTAACATCCTCCATTCACACACACATTCACACACACTGATGGTGATGAGCTACAATGTAGCCCCAGCTGCCCTGGGGCACTGACGAGGCTGCAGAGCACAGGTGCCACCAGTCCCTCCAACCACCACCAGCAGGCGAGGTGGGTTACATGTCTTGTCCAAGGACACAACAGCAGAATTCTCTGTTCGGAGCCGGGATCGAACTTGCAACCTTTCGATTACTGGACAACCCGCTCAAGTTGTTGAGCTATTGCTGCCCTCTGTCTTGGCAATTACAGAGGTCAAAGGTTTTCTGTAAGTCTTCACAAGGTTTTCACACAATGTTGCTGGTTTTTTGGCCCATTCCTCTATGCAGATATCCTCTAGACCAGGGGTGTCAAACTCATTTTAGCTCAGGGGCCACATTGAGGGAAATCTAGTCCCAAGTGGGCCAGACCGGTAAATTAAAAACAACTTCAGATTGTTTTCTTTGTTTTAATACAATCAATATAAAACAAGGCTGGAGCCTGAGGACAGTGTATCCAAAATAGTACAACACCTGAAGTGTACTTGAAAATTTGAAGAAAAAACTAAAAAAATCAATAAATAAATAAACATTCCTTAGTGATTCAAAGAGCTTACA